GAAGAATACAAATGGAAGAGCCTTTTCTGCCAAGTGAACCGCTTGATGATAAGTATGCCCATGCCAAGCCTCCGAAAACAGAATGAACTGAGTCGAGCTCAATCACAAGTCAGATCGGCTGCCTTTGAAGAATTTCTTACAGCAACCGACATCTAATCAGCCTGCTCTTTTCTGGATTTCTAGAATCAGCGATTTCGGTACTTTGGTACCTGTGACTGTTGTCAAAAACGGGAGGCACCATCTCTCAATATAGACCATGATGTCATAATTTGAAACAAATAGATAGTTACTTCCTACCTCTGAGACCCCGGACGTTTATGGCAGGATACGTATAAGATCCGAATGCGGAATACCGCAGGGAAGCGAATGCAGGATCGACTGTCTATAGACAGTTGCTGTTACGGGTTAGGGGGATACCGAAGGGAGATACCGAACTTTGATTTCTTCTGCAGAAGAAACCAGTATCGGAAGGGAGATACCGTAACCACGCGTCTGCGTGGTAAAGAGAAGGATGAAGGCATATTCCGGTGAACTCACCACCTCAATACCTTCTGCAGATTAGATTTCTCTTTCCTTTTCCCCCTCAGGCTTTTCGACCTTCGTTGAATGCACAAGTTGATTTCGAGCTTTCTGGCTCGTAACAGTTGCAATAAAAACTACTTATCAGGTGATTTGGCTCAGACCTTTTGGCCTAATGGCAACACCGATGTCTAGGATGGTTCTACAATAACAAGATTCCGGGGCAACAGTAGGTGTTTCTCCTACTCCGCTGATTGATCTAGTCCCCGGAGCTAAGAATTGAGATAGAGCCTTGAATTTTCAACTGGACGATTTAGCACCTTTCCGTCTTTCGATTGGCAATAAACCCTTTTTAGTATATTCCTAAAATTTGAAACTCCAAGATCAATCTCGCTCTTCCCATTATTGGCCGTCGGTTACAAATCGAAATTGTTGTTTAGGAATGGCCGACGAAGTGCTAGATCGGTGAAAATGAGATTTTCGTTTTCGGACTTCCTGTATAGCAGCATACCATGGGAAGACACTGTGTCTTTATCAGTGCCGTCTATGTAGCTAGCGGCAAAATATGAGGACGCGGCACATAGCCCGCTTTCACGTAAGTAGTATCCATTATTGTGTAGATTGGGAAAACGCTTCGCTCAGGACAGTTACGAGTGGTCTCGTCGCGTGCTGCGCAATGAAGACCTTAAAGTGATATGGTGGAGACTGATGCTGGAATATGGAAGGTTGATCATTGATGATCGCGAGATAATGTCTTTCAGTGTATTTATGACTTTATACCAACCCCACCTCACTTGACAACAATTTCTTTCTCCGGGGATGCCAAAAGCCTGCGTGACTAGGTTAAAGCACTATGAGTCTGTACCCGATTGCAGAGAGTTTGGGCGACATTTGCTTTCGATTATTACGCGCGGTGCTCTTGGCCTGGCCAGATATTGAAGGAGCTGTGATGGACGAGCAGGTTACTTTCGTCAGCGTCTTAGACAGGAGCTTTGATGGTAGCTTTCCGCTTAACGCCGTGCGTGGTCTGACCGTTAGGAATGCTTAGCCCCCGCAGCAGTCTTCTCGGCTTCACGCCATGCTTTGAAAAATGAGGAGCCCAGCAATTCCCTTCACAGTTACCGTATCATGATTGAATCTTCTCGTATTAGAAACATATAATAGGTCGATTGACTCAAGCGACTCGTATGTCGAATGACGAAGATTCAGGACGTCAGTTGAATACTTGAATAGCCAAGAATACAGGAAGTGTGGTTTCCTTCATGAGAGACTCCTAAAATGACAGGAGTCTGACTTACTGAGACGGATAATCGAATCTGAGTTACGGCTTATCGAGTCAGATATATAAGTCTACTGCATATCAAAAGTGATGAGATACGGCTACGGTGGGGGCAGCAGTATCGATGTGTGAGAGGGATGAGGAGTGAGATTGCTATGGGGGAGAGATTCTACCTAAGCTATGGACTGTTGTGAGTGGCAGAATCACATGCCATGCAAACAAAAAACAACCTGAATGAACGGTAAACCGTCTCCACGACATTGCTCAATAACTTGCTCGCGCAAGAACCGAACAGGCTCATGGCAGACTGCAACGGGGTATGCTGAGCCCTGAATCCGTTCGGAATGTACCCAGGTTGGAGAGAGGTCTGAGTTGAAAGCAGTGACCTTGATCTCCAGTTGTGTCCTGCATATCACATTCAACCGCCGTCCGATATATCTCATGATCTGCGAAAGATCAGTCGAATCGTGCATCAAATCAGGGCCTCGCCAAGCTCCGAAATAAGATGTATAGACGTCGTTCACCTCGAGAAAATGCTTGATCAAAATTTTAGTCGTCACCGAGTCGGACGCACTGGGCAGGTTTCTTACACCAGAAACAAGAGGAGGTTGCCAACTCTCGTGGACCCAGTCCGGGATGTATGACCAGACATTCCTTGTCGAAGGCACGGAATGTATGGCGGAGTCGTGCAGTAGGTATCGGCTACTCCGTGTAACAGCGCGGCTGGTAGTGAGATCTTTGAGATACATCTCGTCCCCGTGATAAGCTTATCGTGAGCGGCAGAGTCGCCGAAAGAATATAAGATTACAAGTGTACCGCCCCTCCCTTCTAATGCGTGGAGCAAGAAGTAGAAATTGTAGTAGGGTACTCTGATATCCACCGATTATATCAATATTCTCAACTCTATATACGGGGGAGACCCCCGTAGACCCCCATCAACGGGCCAACGGCTAACGCAAATTAAATCATAAATCTATAAGACCATAACGCAAGTAAAGTTGATTATCAACTTGCGGGAATACCCATGGGGCCCATATAGGTACTTGGGTTTGGGTCAGAATTTAGGTTTTGACTATGGGGCCTACCGCCTACGGTTATTCCTGTGGGCATTATACTTTTGCCATGGGGCCCATGCGTATGTTACGGCGGATTGCGGGCTTGGTGGCTGTGCGGGGCCGTAGCCAGCCGCAAGCCATGACGTCGCGATACTTATATCGGCTTGTTTGGTTAATAGGCCCGGCTATTTCCTATAACAGAACAACTCAAGTTCCCGAAACGGAAGGTGTTTTTGGGGTATTTAGTTATCTAGTCATAGACTCATACCGCTTCTAATATCTCTAGGTAGAATCTAGTTTTAGATAGCAATTATATCTAGCTATCGTATATATGTACTATGTATTGAATAAAATTAACTAGATACTAACTATATTAAGGTGTTAAAGATGCGGCTTGAAATCCAGGCTTACCCTATCACCTAGAGACTTTCGGGTACATTGAGAGACTTTGACTCCGATCGCAAAGACATGTATACCTCTAGTCCACCACTGCCACCAGCCGACCGCCACACTCAAGGAATAAGTTACCACACTAAAACTTAGTATAATTACTTATAATCTTTCAGTAAAGGAGTTAAGTCTGAACATTAAAAATTTCGTCGTTTTAATACAAACACTTCGGCTACATAGAGGTATATAACGTGTTAAGGGGTCTGTATCGCAGGACAGAGGACCTGTTGGCTAGGCAGAGAGTCCAAGTCTATGGGGTCTGATTTCAAAGACTGAATCTTGGGGTCTGGTAGGCTCCACCAGTTCCCACAATATATACATAGAGGTTCCACGTACCGAGTCCCCACAGCCCCAAACAGAGCTCTTGGGGTTGTTACCCTAAGACGACGCGGGGTCGATTCGATCGTGAATCGTCTTGAGTCACCACGTATGACTTGCGCCGTGACATGATCTTTCAAGGCAAGGTCTATATTACTGGCTGGTTTGAATCGAATCTGCCTAGCGACTGGCGAATCGAGGTCTCTAGTAACGGCTGGACTACCGATGAAATAAGCCTTCGCTGGCTAGAGAAGCACTTTATTCCACACACAAATTCGCGCGTACGAGGTCGATATCGGCTACTGATCCTCGATGGCCACGGTAGCCATCTTACACCACAATTCGATCGAATCTGCACAGAAAACAATATTATACCGCTGTGTATGCTATCACATTCTTCGTATCTACTTCAACCGCTAGATGTTGGTTGCTTCGCACCGCTAAAGCGTGTATACGGTCGCTTCGTTAGCGGTCTAGCCCGCACTGGCTATAACCACATCGATAAACTCGACTTCCTCGCAGATTACCCTCGGGCGCGAGTTGAGGCCTTTAAGCCACAGACTATCTAGACTAGCTTTGCTGCTACTGTTATTACACCGTTGGAGCCAGAGCGTGTGCTATCGAAGCTAAATATCTCGCTCTATACGCCAACACCACCAGGAAGCCGACCAAGCAGTAGATCTAGCCATTTCACACCAAAAACGCCTAAGACAGTGATTCAGCTACAGAGGCAGGCTAGGTTACTCAATAACCTATTAGAGCAGCGGTCGAATAGCCCGCCTACACCCTCCAAAGCTACTGTGGATCAGATTATCAAGAGTGCCTGTCTCTCGATGCATAGCGCTGCATTACTTGCCGAGGAAAACGCGACTCTACGCCGCGCAAATGAGAAGAAACGCCAGAAACGTACTCGATCGAATCGGCATATAGTACACGAAGGTGGCCTAACTATCGCAGAGGGCCTACAGCTAGCTCAGCAGGCAGAGCAGCCGGTAGAAGAGAACCGGGTGGTATCGCATGAGGGAGGGGAATCGGCGAATCAGGTAGATTTACCACGCAGGAGGGCTCCACCAAAGTGTAGTGGGTGTGGAGAGTTAGGCCATAGGATTAATCGTTGTCCTAAGCACTAATTTGAGATGAATTAATATCGTTTTGGTTGAATTATCTTGATTCAAAATATTCTAATGGGAAAGGGTGATCCGGTCGGCCGGGAACTACGTTAGGTCAAGAAGCTGAAATTATAACGTAAGTCCGCCCTGGTTTTGACACTACATGCAGAAATATTTTCGTCCACGAGTTAGCATAATATCTGGCTGATATCACCCGACAATCAATAGATAATATTATTCCAAGGTCCCACCTTACTCGCGATCTACAACATGTATCATTCTGCTGCGGATTCCAAGATGTATGATCCTTTTGCTAGCGTGACAGTCAACGAACAGAGCACCACTGATGGTACACGCGCCGTCTCGCTCAGCGTTGCGAGTGCAGAACGTGAGACTCAGACTGATATGGCATCTATGTTGCCGCCAGAGGCGCCACAACCACCAGACCCCGCTGATCTTCTCGCCGATATACAGAAGGCAGCTGAGGATGTGTCACAGCTGGTTGGGCGATTCGGCTTAAAAATGGCTCAGATACTCATAGCATCACGTACCAAGGAAGTTTTGTTCAAGTCGGACCGCAGCCAGATGCAGCTCCCGTGTCTGGGCTATGCTGACGAGTTCAGCTGTCAGCTCACAAAGGAGTATCACGAACCGATTGAGCTCGAGGGGGAGGCCCCGATGTTGTGGTGGCTGTGGAGCCCGCTGCTCGAGTGGCTCTCGTCGACCATTGGCTCAAGCGGCTGTACGCTCGTGTTCACGCCTGCCTGCAAGGCCGACGTTGACTTGCCCGACAAATTCAGCATCCGACTTTGGAGCACTACAGAAAATACCGAAAATATCGAGCTGACGGCCACGTACGGGGGTTGCTTTGCGGAGCGGCGCATCTATGACGCACCTGTCGCGAGGTTTTGCTCCCGAAAACAGACTTTCGGGAGCAACACATTCACTTTGTCGATGGACGAAAGTCAAGTGCCGTACGAAGGGGCATCGTTTGAAGTCGCGTTTGATTATCTCTTGCCACGAACTCTCAGCGTTTGGCGTGGCGCCATGAACATCTTGCCAAACGAAGAAGAGCAGGAGCAACTTGTCAAGGCTCTCGTCGGAGCTTGTGAAGCCAAGGACGACCAGATGCCCTTATTGGAGGAAAATGATTTGCAATGCAGACAATTGATACGACGATTACCGCCAAAGGCTCGAATATGGACAGTGGAAGCAGGTCTCCTCGGACAAGACAGGGTCTATGCAGTATAATTACCAATCGCCCTCCTCCACTAATTACCGCTGTTTGCCTGAGCCCCCAAGCCAATCATTCCGATATCTCTTCTGACTCCGACGACGTCAGTCCTCATCATCGCGAACCTCGGATTAAAAATCGCTCGAGGGCTCTCGCCCGGCACATTGCGGCACATTCACAAGGATTGATGCCCTTGACTCTACGCTTCGATGATACTAAGAGTGGTTCGGTGAATGTTGACGACGGGGCTAGCGCCTCGAAAGGCACAGACATCGGCAGATTATCCGACATTGACTTCGAGGCTGACGTCAGTATGGACGTTATTCGAGGTGGTGAAATCCTGGTGACTATTACAGATCATGTGGGTAATGTCGTTCAAGACGCTTTTGCAATCCCAGACACCAATTGTAGTTTTGAGGATGTCCCGAGACCTTGTGATGGCCTCGAAGCCGAATGACACTTTCTTCCTCAGGGTCATTGAATTGGGGGCCTTGCAGTCGTGGCAAGAGGAGCCCACTTACAAAATCCCGTTCCTTTCTCATGACGGATAACTGATCGGCTAAGCCTGTGCCTTGCCAGTGGAGGCCACGGCTGTAAAACTGATGCTGGATGAAATACACCCACCCGCCTTTGCCCGTCCCTGCCGACCAATCGAAACGAACATATCTATGGAAGAATTGGGGAACATGATAGTGTCGTCGTTGGCTGACCGCCCTTCGCGTACGGCGGCACATCAGCCGCGACTTGTGTGACTCACTTGTTGTCTAGCTTCCCCGCCAGCCGCTTTTGTCTTGTGGTATCGGTGTCGGGATACGAAGCACCAAGGCTGATATCCGACTGGGAGATGTTGTAGTGGGCCAGCCGAGCGAGCCCACTGGAGCCGTGGTCCTGTTTGATTTAGACAGATTTTTCAGCGGTAGAGTACCTAGCAACATCGAAAATATTGGAATTGAGAACGTTGATTCTAGCTATTTCAAGTTCACTGAAGTGACAAGTCGACCTCCTGCTGTTCTGTTGAGCACTCTTTCTTCTCTTCAACGTATCACTCTATGTAGGCTCGCCGAATCGATGAAACGGTTGATAATTTGCAGAATACCAGATTCATGAGACAGACGTAAGACGACCCTTTGTGTCAACAAAACTCGGCCTAGGCCTAGGTCCGTCGCACTTATTTCATCGAATGGAAATGAGATCCTAAGCCACCGATCAGTCGTGGAGAGAAGTCGCTGATTCCGAAGTGGCAAATGGCACTCAATTCTGGGTTCACGGCATGCAGGTCGAATCGCCGAGTCGCCAAATTGGATCTGTAATAATTGTCGTGATAGGAGGGAAATATGACAGGTCAAATGAATGGAGATCCTAAATGAAGGGAAACCGGGTTGGGGCAGCAAAAGGTCTCGGCCTACTAGCGCTAGGACTGGAGACGGAACGCAATTTGGCCACACCTCGGCCGCTCCACCTTCTATCCGCCAATCAGCGGATAGCAGCGAGGCTCTGCCTCCTCTTCGTAAATTTTCCCCTCGTCTCCAAAGAGGGCCAATCTTAAGTGCTATCCGCCTTCGGCTAGCCTATGCTTCTTTTTGCCTTTTTATTACTTCCATTACTTCTCATTAATGTTTGCTACTTTATTGTTAAGTTTGTTGTTAGTTTTTCAATTGGTTTTACATTACTTCTTGGTCTATGTCTGTTCGTGGTATATTGGAAAAACGAGATATATCTCCCGAAGTGAGCCACGTGGACTCCTGGAGATTCAGCCTCGAAATGAATGGTGAAGGGATGGAATGGGGTGGTGAAAGAAACGCGCCGAGGTACGAGTAGCTGTATAACTGTGAGAAGGGCAGTCCCGTCGCATGCGTCGCGTCCGAGCAGCTGAAACCGAGATGATGATCCACCACCCGACTTCCCGTTGCCGGCAGATCACGAATTGTTTGCTCATCTTGAGAGCCAACGGGAGGTGGGCGAGTCTTCCCCGCTCCCTACTTTCTTCCAGGCATCAACCTTCAGGGTACCTTTGCCTCTCGGAGCTGGTCATGAGGTCGTCCGTGGGCCCACACACGTGTGACGGGGCGGCTATACGGGCGCCGTCCGTGGCCTGCCGCATCGCCTTGACAACATGTTCCGCGCGATCAACACTATCGCCATTGGACCGTCTTTTGGTCTGTGTGATCAGCGGGCCCGGCTATCACCATCCCAGGACAACAGTTCTTACCAGTACTGTACTTCCTGATGTTGACGTGCTATGATTTTCGTATGACATATGAATTGACGAGTCGATTAATTTCTAAAGAAGCTGGCAATGATTGGCGATTCTCCCTCGCTCGTAGAGCCTGGTATAGTGAGGCTGAACTCCTGCGTTTCTAGCCCAGATGGACATGATGGTGTGGCACTCCTTTCTCATCGACCATCCCGCGGTGATCGCTCTGGATCTAATGCTCTTCTATAAGCGGAGGACATGTAAGAGGGCTTGATGCGGGTAGAGTATAACGTACTCTGACGTAGCCACTTGGCTGAGGGAAGGTAGAATAGATTACTCTGGTTTGGCCTCTTCGGCGACGGATCACTGTGATTTCCACTGAAATGAGTCCACATATATGGGCGATCTTAGACAAGACTCGTAACAATATGATGAAATTGTAATGAAAATTGAGATCTGTCTCTTTACAAACTACAAACGCCATGTGCTGAGATATTTATCAGTATTTGTTGTTGGTGCTGGCTGACCTTCATTGGTAGTCGGGGTCGGGGCCGGAGTAGTACATCTGGTATCCAACTGCCGATCCAGGCAGATCAAAAAATAGAATAGGACGCGAGATCGTGGTGCCGCTCAGGCCCTTGTGATCGGAGAACTATGGCCGCCATGGTATCATGGGGCATTGGTCACTTTTCATCAGTTAAAGTCATGGCCAATAATTGCCTCCTGCCTTCTTTCTCTTCCCAGTTCATTATAGCGTGAGTGGTGTCATGGTTTTCATGCTGTCGGGTCTCGCCCTCTCAAGGTAGGAAGTAACCGTTTCTTCGTCGCTGCATTTGTAACCCTGGGATACGCACACACATACAATCACGCTTATTTACGTGCACTGACCTGGAAACCTGTCAGTTGGATTCTCTGCGCGGGAAATATATCGTGACAACCTGAATGGAAAGCTGCAGTCCGCAAATATCGAAATTCCATTCAAGCTCCAATTTTTCTGATTGTCCCGTTAACAGGCAGGTCTACGAAGGCTGTAGAGATGAAGTGAGACTGCCGACATCAATTTTCAAGAGAAGTGGCTTAAATTTTGTTAATGTTGGCAACTGCTTTTCGCTCCCAATTGGCGCTGATATCTACCCGGTCGGCGCGTTCTTCTCCACCACCTATGCGACTTATTTGACGTTTGACCCGTATCGCTATTATTGCTCCCCTGAACTGGCTTTAAATACATGAAAAGTCGAGATTCAACACAATTTGGAACGATTCGGGATCAAAAGACTGGTCTGATCCATAGTGCGTTTCCTAGACCGTTCCGTGTCTGCTCTTCCTTCCGGGGACCCACAAGCCGCTATCGGATCTCATTCGTTGATAGTCAGATTCAAAGAAAGCAACTCTATCCCCCAGAACTGTGTCTCTGGCCTTGATCCTAGTGTCGGCATCGGCACAAACTAAGACTCCGGTCAACTGTTTCTACTCGGCGTAAAGCTTTTTCTGTGATCATCAAGAAGGAAGCGTACCTGACACTAAGAGCTTACCGACACACTGCTCGTATTCTTTCTTCAGCATTGTCTCTATGTCGGGCTTGCCATAAAAGATTGCTCCGCGGTGGCCAATCTTCAATCGCTCTCCTTCGACTGCCTCTGGGGCTGATGTTCGTGTAATAAACAATGAGTAGCTCAATATCTGTAAGATAGACATCAGTTTCACTTCATCACGTCTAATGTCTGGCGATCCCAGTGCGCACCATATGATTTGAATTCGAGTCCAGAAGCTCATCCATCCATTCACAAATCCAATTTTCATGATCTGTAATCCGCTAGAGAAGAACGGAAGAGAGTTCGGGACACCAACGTTCGTCATCAAGTTGTAAGACCAGTGAAAAATCTTCTCTGCAGTAGGCTCTGTGTCTCCCTAAAATCAAGTCTCGAGCGTATGGCATCTGTGATGTCACTCCAGTTCCAGTAGATATCAGAACAACGCTGTCGTATGTTTTTGTGTGGCAGGTCTTTCCGTATTGACCATCTATTAAGACTCGCAGATGAGGATACGTGTCGTAAACAGAGCTCGGGAACAGAGGCCGCGAAGTAAACGGGAAAAGCGATGGCATGCTAAGCAATAGAGTATTTTCTGGGACCGATTCTAGGACTGAACAATACACAATCCTGCGCGCGATCTTTATACCACCGCCCTTTATGCAGGTCAAGTCTACCTGTGAGGCGATACTGCATATATCGTCGATCTCAGGCCGAATTTCTGCCGAGCCGTAGCGTTTTGATGTTGTGCGATATTTATTCAATTTTCAATCAAAATACGATCCCAGGCATGCCAGCACATGCTTTTTGATGAATTTTAGACTTTCTGGCTGATTTGGTTAGCCGGCCTACCTACTACCATAACGCTGTGGCAGAGTACATTTTTACAAAGTCGAGAATTATGTGACATGCTACAAGTAATCTAATACAGTACATGGTGGGGGACTAAGATTGTACTCCTTTTTCTTGTAATAGCAGATCCTCTGCTTCGAATTCAGATCAAGACGTACTGTTGCGTGTCGACTTCCCTGGATATCGCTAAAGTCGGGTCGATAGCCCGCAAGAAGCTCTCCGTAGAGATGACCCGAGTCCAACGGCTCCTTTGGGGAGGACGATGGTGTTGATGATGAACACACATTTCGAAACGGCTGATGGACTATAACGCCCGAGCGGGCACGCCACCGGGCGACTGGGGAAACGATCGGGCCTGCTGACCTGCGCGCCAAGCTTATTCCTTTATCACTTGTTTGTTTCAGACTAGAGTCGAATAAGACGCCGGTCACACGCAACAGTGAGGTCATAATGGTTTCGGAGGATTCAAGCAGACCGTGGTGATGGAAAGGAGATGGAAAGGTTGAAAATAACAACAAGCGAGTGCCACCGTCTTAAATATCTACGCGCGCACAAGTTGACCACTGTGAGTGATCATGTCAAAAGTGTTCAAATCATCATCGTAGCACGATAAGATGTGGTCCTTCTTACCATCAATGAGGATACTATTATGCTACATTGACTCGGAGCAGTGGTCATGGATAATGTGGTGGTGTTCGGCGGTATTGATTCTCGTGCAGGGGCGAAAGGAAGCCACAATAACACCATAAGTTCTTTCACATCTCTGTATATTGGGATCTGCGTCCTAAATAGTGGGTGATACTATCAATCACACTACATTCGCTCGAGCTGACATCTCTACATCCATGCATGTACCACGAAGTATGGAATATAATTCATTATGGCATTGCGCATTGTAGTACGGATATCTCAAATGTATAATGCAGTACATTAAACCTGGTCATCTCTCTAAAGATGCTCGAAATGACCGCAGACTATCGAAAGGAAACGTAACTCCCTAGGTGGGAATGTCAAGTGATCGCTCACGCCAGGATTCAACCAACTAATAATCCAAGATATAATGGCGTTAGAATTCCAAAGCTTTGTGCTGCGTGATTGCGATTTTTCCTATGATCGATAACCCCCGTACCGGATCACTTTCCATTGACAACGTACTAGACGCCAAGTAGCTAGACATAGCCAGGAAAAATTCCAGGGGTAAGGTGCCAGGTCATTGGTGCACTTATTCGAAGCGAAATATCTGCTTGACCAATAATTCTAATAATGCTGTACATGGACAAGGACACGGTGAAACGCAGCGAACTCGGGATGAAGGCAAAACGCGGCTCAGATTTCGGGGTTTGGCCGGACGCACAATGCCCAGCAATTGATCTTTCTACAATACCAGATCATTCATTAGTGGCATCAAGCGTAAATGCGACAAGCAATCGGAAGGGAAACATCATGACGATTTGTATTGACAGACCTACGGAATTGACATATCTACATACAACCGACTAGGTAAGGGACATACACCTGGCCTACATATCAGCATCAGCAGATAGTAAGAGGGAAGGAAGGAAATCCCGCCGACGGCCCACGCAGAGGAACCACTCTAGATCTACATTGGTCATCCGTCACAGGATATAACTATCGGGAGACAGGCTGCAATGCTGTATTACAAGCAAGTAATGATTTATTATGAACCCACCCAGAACCCTACTGGTATGCGAGTGATGTTTTAGTACTCAGAAACAGGAGAAGGTAGTGACGACTACGGGAGCCCCACCACCAGGGGAACGCGGGTTAGATCCTTAGATCTAGGAAAAGCGATCGCCCTTGCATTACCGCCGTAGGCACACTTCGGGGTCAGGACGTACTGCAGTAGGGACATACTATATGCCATGACTAACTCATACCAGCCCATCCCAACTTCCTCGGTCAAGCAAGAAGAAGTGACTCTATGACAGTTCCCCATTTCGTACTGTCATCCTCAGATGACCTTTGTAGTTTAAAAGTGGAGTCTCATCGTATCAAGGCGGTTCCTATGACCGAGAAATCAGGAATCTGAGAAAAGATCTCGACCGATCGAAAAACCAACGCCCCAACCGATAGGCGAAGAAAAGGAAATGATGGATGAATGAGACCGGGCGCTAAAGCGCTTCTGGCGTAATTAGAAATGAGAACCTGGTCCGCGAAAGACTCACCATTAAGAGATCACTGTAGCATGGAAATGTCGGAGTAATTCTGTAGCAGACAATAGTCACAGAACTTCGATACCGATAGATAATATCAGCAGTTTCAACTAGGGTCCTGTTCATTGAGCAAATTATGAGCGTATTGTGATGACCGACCACCCTCATTAGATAATATACAGTAATTTGGCGCTGATGATGTGAAAATCATGTTAGGAGCAGGACCGGGGTGAATCTCTACATGGTGTGGCGGTATGACTACAGACGCAGGAACTTCATGTTACACTCCGACCTCGACGTAGGTCAAGGTACACGCCCAAAAAATGCCACCTTGGATGGTCCTACCCGAACCGGAAAAGATCCTAGTCACCTCTGCCCGTCGTCGGTCTTTCGGTCGTTCCCGCCGCCGAGTCATTCGGTCGATAGTCCGTGTAGGTTTTTGGGGTTAGCGCCTAAAAATACCGGTCAGATACGGGATGAGATGTGTCGATCCGACAGCGGCGTTTCTTTAGTCTAGGTCACTAAAATCTCGCGAATACGCTCTTGCACGTATGTACTAGTTTAAGTGACATTGAACGCCCGGAGCCGACAACGCGGATTTAATTCGCTAGCGTAATGGCCTGTCTTCGTGCAAGAACCATTCAGCGAATTCCTCCCTTTCATTAACCCATTGGCCTCAAGTGGGATTCACGGGACTCACGGGATGGGGGGAGGAAAGGGGGCGCGGGGGCGAGTGGAGTCTCCACGACAAACCCGACTTAGTCCTTTGGTAGGAAAGACGCTACGAACCCCACCTCTCTTTCCCATCCCTCCCCAATCATCTCGTGCCTTGGTGACTCGATGGAGGTCTAGAAGATGGTTCCGTGTTCAACCTTAACGTATATTGTATGGTCTTTTGAGCCTTCGCCGATGTTTCCCACGAGGAATGAGAGCCCACGGCCCTACGCCAAGCAAGACCCGTTGTCTAACGGCGCGTCTTAATCCAGGACATTATCTAAATGTTAATTCAAGCATAGAATTGACGGTCAACCAAGTGGCAACGAACCCTTAGCAACCTGGGATAAAATCACGGTTTGCGTAGGACTTGAAAATATCACTTTCTCGAGAGGATGGTTTGGAAATATCACTACAATCTGGACAGAACAGCCAGATGAGATCCCATGTGAGGATGCAGAAGACGGTGGAGCGCCTGCCTCCCTTTAAAAATTTCCCACGCAAACAGGCTTGGGGTGGGAGAAATTACCGATCTTACCCCTGTCGAGTTTTCTGTTCTGCCTCCCCCCAACGTACCCTCAATTCCCACCCACGTTTGACTGTCTTCCTTGCCTTCAGGCTTGCATACCATTGGTTGTTGTTATTAGTCAATTTTTCATAAGCAACCTAGGGTAAATTTCCCACTAATTAGTCGATCAATTTACGGTTATCATCCGTCATTTCCATAATGAACGTAGGAGTAGTAGTTGAGAGCGAACCGACTTCCAAATAACGCCAGTAGCTCATTTTGGCGCCAAGGAAGATATCATTGGTGAATATGATGTGGGCAGTATTACGCTATCTGATTTTACCGTCTCCGCCAGTTCTGACCGTCATTTAAGTCACAAGCACGCATTCCGACACGCGCACATACCCGAAGAAGTTACGACACCTACCAGTTCCTTGACATATTCTGGTTCTCGAAGCAACGTGGGTCGGTATCTGGCAGTTGACACCTATCTCCCTTTCTAACCGCTTCGCGGAGTAACTGTCAATAATTGTCGCCGACTGCTATTAGGAGCTCGGAACGTTGATTCTGGGATAGTGGTAATCAAGTAACATGGCGCGGGAGTCGTTTAAATCGCGTCAGGCGGATATGAAAGAGGTGAAAAGTGGGTTCGTTCCTCGTTATGGAGGCAAAAGGCACTGAGGCAGCCATTTTATGGTCGGCGTCTTTATTTGTACCTCCGGGCATCTTCAATGCTTACAAGAAGGCTCCTTTGGACATATTATAGGTCTCAGTACTCATTTCGTGATGATCGCGTGCAACGTAGAGATTCGACATATTACATCACAACACACAGCTTCACCGAATAGACGATGTATACGGCAACGGCCTGGAGAAAGCTCGTGTATACGTGGCTGCTGAGCGCCCCAGACTTTCGAGGCCGCTGAACTGTTAGCACATAAGATCGCCATTTTGATTCCTGCCTTCCCCTCGCTTTTTTCGAGAGCCATGTGTTAGCACATATTGATAACAAATGATAGCGTTATCCAGGAGTCGCCTCCTCAACCAGGTTACAGAAAGTATCGAGACAAAATCAATTGCTTTTCGTCTTTCTATTCCCTTAGACATAGCTATGATCATTCCGACTCCTCAAACATCGCCCTTTATGTCTGATCGCCCTGGTCTCCTACCCCGACTTGACCACTGATGTCGGCCATGTAAAATGCAAGTACCTGGGAGAGAACTTGGGAGAACCCCCGATCAGATAATAGCTTTTCCCTGATTTGTGCCTGGGACGGCATGGCCTATCAGCTGAGTTCTAGCATGGTCAATATGAGAGCGGCACATACGTAGATCTCCTCTGCAGCGCCTCGAATGATGCTCTCCTGTATGAACTTCATTCTGACTTGGCTTTGATGTGGAAGGCTTGAAGCAGGTTGGGTCGTGGATGTTTGGTATGAAGGAGCTGCGGGAAAGTTCATGAATGTTGGGTCGAAGAAGTTGTAGTCCCCGTTCGGCGTTACGCCATGTTGGTTGTATTGGGGCATTTGGCATGATGAGGGTGGTGAAAGGCCCTGGGTGACTGGTGCTGAACCGGAGATGTCCTGCTCATCAGTAGTTTCGCAATACGGCTGTTGGGTGTTGTTGCCCGCTGGAAAGCAGTTGTTTCCTGATATCGCTTCTTCAGCCATGTGATGCAGTCAATCGGGTAAGAATGACAGGAGGATCTTGTGGTTCGCAGAGATATGGTCACGATCACACTTTATATCAATGGCTCGAGGCCTGCTTGACTAGTACTGCTAAATATGCCCGTGTTGGCCTCGAGTTGGAGAGAGAGAGGCATATCGCGCATTAGCTTGTGCAGGGATGTTCCGCCAAAAGACTGGCGCAGCAGACGTGTGAAAGATGATACGAAGTCAGAAACTACGAATGCTCTCTGCCAGATGGTCCGGGTGTTTACAATGGCTTCCATGATGCAGGAGTCGAGCATTCATTAAATTGACATTCATACCAACCCCGCGCGGAACGGTCGACGGCAGCTGCGAGAATAAAAATCGAGAGTGTAGTAGGGGAACATCCCCTCGAGCTCTAACTTGAGGGTTGATTTACTTGGAATCCCACAACTCTTGTTGGCAGATTTTGTCTTACTCCTGCCGGAATCTAGGGCGCCAGAGTGACCATGAAGTTGGTTCACCTCGTGGGAAAACAAGTGTCGCTCGTGAGTCGCATTTGGGAATTCAGAAAACAACAAGCTATGACACGTATGGTGACGTTTAGGTCGTCTGGTACGTACGTATTACACTTTAATTGACCTACCGTAGGTTTATGCAAAACATTTTTCGATGGACTAGTAGTTCGGCTTATTCCGGAAGCAATTGCCGTGACCCAGCGAAGAATGGTTGGGTGGATGTTGGCCGCATCGACGTAGTATACTCGATATACTCGATATAAAGACGGCTATCATAATAAGCCTGTGCTCGGGGTCAGCGTGCTTCTATTGGTCGGTGTAAGTTCTGTACTCCACCGTAGGCTATGAGGGGGCCGAGCGTGAATGCTCGGACCTATCTCTTTTTGAGCAGCGTCCGCCTGATACGCCGATCTGGTGTTCCTTTCTTTGCTTGCTCCACAGCGGTTGGTGCACCATGTCAATTTCAAGACCAAGGCAGACATCCATTGTCCAGAATAATGAACACTAGCTTAGTGATCGGCCGACCAACACCCAGAGTTTTACATGAGACATGGTCATTGATCGTTCTGGCCATTCGACTGATTCCTTCCTGCACCTGGGTGTTTGGTATTCCCAGACGATCGATGCACAGGGAGAATTGATATATAGTGTTATGAATGAGCCTTTACTATGGAGGTTGAAATAAGGCCACATGCACGATCATACATCTTGAAGTACGTGCATAAGCAGTCCACTGCCGAGCAACCACGACGCAGCAGCGTACATATCAAGGTGAATGCAGAGGTCCGATACCTCGCCTTGAATCAGAAAGCGCTACGCGTCAGCATAGTGCGAAGCCTCCCTCAAAGGTCGATTATCCGTTCACTGCATGAGAAAGCGGTAAAGAATCTTGGTATCTTAGTAGCTATATGGCACCATTGCGAATATGGTCATGCTACTGTTGTTTTCATATTTGATTCCAACAAAACCCCGGCTGTCATCAGAAAAGTGGGGGAGTTTCAGTCGTGGTTTTGCGTTATACCGTAGTGTAATAAATAACGACGCCACACTTGTCTCGATAATTTAGATGAACGAAGGAAGAGAATCCCATAAAAAGGCTGGTACACAGCTCATCGAAGCAATGATTTCGTCTTTCGATGATCAAACATTTAACAGGATGAAACTAGTTTGTACCGATCGCGAAGCCGGCATTGTTGAGCTTGCTTAGTGAACGCCATAAGTACTCAGTGACGTTCCAAGAGTTTCCTAGCCCCCTGCCCCACTGTAGAATTATGCCGGCCAGAAGCCCACGCTCAATTCGCGAAGTGCCTTCAGCTCTGAGCTTGATTGGCTCATAAGAGCGGTCAGGAGGACGATGGAGCCAGGGGATAGAAAAGTTGTGGAACGTCACTGTAGCGTTCTTCGGACCGGATAACAGCCCACTCCGCTAATGGGCCATCGGGGGCTGGCTACATTCAAGTAGTGAAAGTTGTCCAGAGCCGGACTGACGCACGTTACACAAAAGGGAAGATGCAAGTACAAGGGCATTACTACCCTGTCATGGAACTAATCCGAATTGTATTTCTTTCGTAAACTTGAAAATTTGTCAACCGACTGGGATCTTAGAAAGTCGGAAAGAAGCAATGGACCTTATAGAAAGTGACGGATCGGATGATCTTGAACGATATCTTATTAAATTCGGCCCAACGATACAATGATCACGAAGCTACTCAGACATGGGAGTGGACGGCTTGGAGCCGGGCGAAAGCCAGATAAAGCTGGTGATCCAGACGACAGGCCGTCGGTGCTTGGTGCTAGCTCTGTTGAGTACAGTAGGATCTATGTATTGTCGGCGGCGGGAAGAAGTGCTCTGTACCAACAAAGTACTGGCCCACTACGGAGTGCGGACCACCTGTTTGTTCCCTTTGAAGCCTGCTTGTGGGTCGAAGGGTCAAGGCTAGGCATCTGTTACTCTTTTTTTGAGGGTCGGTGTCTCCGGGATGGGGACCACCTTGGGTGAGTCACTGTTACTGAAGAATTAACTAGTTAGTTAAGTGCAATTCATTTATCAACTTTATCAACCATAATTCCCAATCTACTTCTACCTGATAAAAAGAGTCCTTGGCCAAATTCAATTGTAGGGTTATAACTTGTAGGATCTACTACTTCCGGTTCTACTTTTGTCGCTGAAGATAATATAGTATTCACGAGTCACGACCCATTCCATAAACATATACTCCTCCTACTGACCGAGAGCCTCAATTTACTTCGAAGAGGTTACTTTTAATAGACCGCAAAAGATTCGGCCGCGCCTGTGGTAATGGAACTTGTTTTATACAGTAAAACGATCGCCCTAAAATTAGAATGTCGAATTCACAAGTTACGAAAACATGTTTTTTTGATTTCAAATTGGGGGAAGAGGTAAAGCCAATGATTAGTAGTTCACAGGGCATTCGCCAGCGGCAGGACCTCGGATATCTCTATGTTAAACAAAGTGAAAAGGGCGGCACGGTATCCACACCTCAATTCTTATTGTACCTGATCAATTGCACAAATTCAGAAAACTAAATTCAGAAACCGAAATTTAGAAACAACATCAGAGGTTGAATACTGGTAATTTTTCACTGAGGGATATCTCTCTAATGCAGAGACGACCGGATTTCTAGCAAAATTCGAGAGCTGGGCATTCTACAGACATGACTTCGGGGGTTGCGCACCAGTGCATCCATTGCTTTTCCACATTAATGGTCAGGGGATTTTATGGGCAGCATTGAAAAATTCTTGATGGGAGTATTTATCAGTCACCTTTATTAGCTCCGCAGTTTGAAGATGTTGGTATAACACGCCCTGGTTATGTTCAAGCGCATACTTAACAATCGCCGGAACGTTGAACCAGCCCAACCGGAAATCAAATCTTGACGTCAACGATTTGAGTCGCTCAGAACTGTATTCCTTCCCCTCTGATTGGGTTTGAATTATCACGGAAAGAGAATAGGGACTGAGATTTTCAGCGTTTTCGTGAAGCCCAATGAGAAAATTCACGTCATGCATGATAAGATAAAGTTGACGTATAAAGTGAAAATGGCTCTTCGGGGTCGGTAGGCAAATTGATGATTCTAGAAGGCCCTGCATTTGTTCGAGGAGTGGATAAAGTATTTTCGGCCTTTTTATCGTCGTAGAAAAATTGCCTAGTCGTCGGAACCATATTTTAGTTTGGAGCATCAGAACCTCAATGGGCACTTCCTTGGCGATGAACCTCAACGAGTGGGGAACGGTGTGCATTTTCGAGTACTTAATTCATTCATTCCTGGCGAGCCTCGCTGCAGATATAAATTTATGAAGTTAAACATGGTCTATCTTGGATAATAAGACCTAAGTTTGTGGCCTAAGTTGACTTTGAGAGGAGCTAATAATACACAGACTATATGGGGGTAAAAATAGCTACCATATCTTGCCCGCGAGGAATTTGTCGTGCTTGCTTGCGTAAACAACCTCAAATCCTGCCAACGAGCGTTGAGTCAGTCGGCGATCGACGCGATAGCGAAGTGTTTTCCAAATTTCTCCCAGTCTATGAGGTCAAGTCTGTCGTCAAGCAGACGTGGAATTGTGACGAGTTCAAGGCAACACTCTAGTGACAAGCATGATTTCCCTTACTCAGTCCTAATTTTGTCCTCGATTGTCGTCTGGTTCCTCGCCTCTTGAGGCCCTTTTCGGCGTATCAACCAACAGTTGAAGGATTCCTCCTGCATGGTTTGTTTTTTACACTCACTTTCCTGATGTTTGATACAAATATCCATGACGCACGTATCGAAAACCCATGTATATAGAGACTTCTGGAAGTTGTTCCCCTAATCTCCGACCATTAACTAAATGTTGCCCGATAATGACAAAGCAATTATCGTTGGCATTTCGGCAATCAAGCAAGTAGCAAAGCCAGTAACCTGAATGGCGCCTGAACATCCGCAAAGATACATAAAGAAACTCCAGCCTACCGACGAGATGAGAAATTTCCGTCAATGTATTGGTTTCTAGCTGCCCTGAGTCTCACATTTGTCCTATGGCTGTGGATGCCCACTCATAATATGGCACTCGTCAAAATTTTTGTCGTTTTATTCTCTTTCGCAACATTCATTTTCAATAACGGTTGTACGGCATAACATTCAGAATTGGGGCTTGCGATACAGGATGCTCTTGAAGGACTTTCTGGGGCTAATCAGCCACGGAAACAGTAATCCGTGGAATATCCAGAACGACCTTTCAGCGCTCATAGGTCAAGAACATCCAAGATGACAATGCCCTTCATTCCTCAGCCCCGGCACTTCATAAAAATCAGGCAAATTTTATACTCATTGAGAATTGTAATGGTGGTAAATGCCAAGGATAGAACTATGAAGGACTCCGGACATTTTAATCAAACGGCGTGAACAAATTACACGAAACTTTCTTTTGACGCCGTAGCGCTACTTAATTCCTTCAATCCGTGGGATGACTCTACGCGAAGAACAAATATTCAATGGCTACGCAGCAAAGCTTGAGCCCGAAGACGCTCAGATCGACGGAGGGGAGGAGTAGTAGGTTTTGGAAGGTTAATTGAACCCCAGGAGGCACAATTTCCACGTACACCACAGGCGTAAAGTCTCTCTATCGAGATTACAGTCAGTACTTGCGAGAGAACACTGGCACACTTGTAGGATGCCTACGCTCATTCAATGGAGACTTGTTTCTGTGCAACCGCAGCTCACCACGACCCTCAAAGACCGATAACTTAATAGGGCTGAGGGTCTTGACAACCTGCTCTTCGACGTCTGCAATAACAACAAAATATTTTTGACTATCGTCGGGTTTGAGTCGATTACTGAAGGATTCCTTTACAAAGGATAACACTTTACCGCAGGCATTTGCTGCCCAAACGATGATACCTTCAGGCCCGCCTCGATTCACTTCGTCGCAGGAAGACAAGCTCAGACAATTAGTAGGGGTGACTATCGCGATAACTTGCAGTCTCTCATGATTCACTCGGTGAACTATCCGGCATATAGCGATCAAAACAACATTTCGATAAGCTAGTGGAAGAGGGCGGACCACCATCGCGCCGATGTCAAAGTTTTGCCTAGGCGGATACATGTTTTCATTGTCGATGTGATTTAAAGACTAACTCGTTCTCAAATGGGAGAGGTCACTCCATTTTCTCCAAGGCAGAGGCATAATTCCCGAAGTGAAAATCGAAATTGATACAAAGTTTCAAAGGCCATGGGTTACAGTGTTTAGTCCTGCGATTCTATGATTCACCCATAGAAAAGCTTTCTATATGCAGCATATCAGCATAGCATAGAATATCGAACCAATTTGTGCGGTGTCCACCATAGTGCATATAAGCCCTAATAGATTGATGAGATGGGTTGGGGTCGCGATTGTATTCGTAGGTGAGTCTGTGAGAGGTGAATCGAAACTGAACTATATATTTACTCAGAATTCTACGTATCTAGAATGTATTTGTGACTCTATAATTATTATCCCCGTGATTAGAGTCGTGGTCAAAACTCGACTGATACATATGAGACTGAGTGGCGCGTATGTCTCTTCTATTGCCGTTAACTTCAATAGCATCAGTGACTCTTACCAGTTGCTATGTTGATTGCTATTGCTGGTTTATTAATCATGCTGATTTGCTATTATGTCCCGAAAGACGTAGATCATCACTATTTTCATACATAAAACCCGTCAGGCATTCGATTCCATGGCCAACCAGGTAGTAAGATTCATATCACAAGACTCTTTTACTACATTCAACTGAAGTTTCCTGGAATTCATGAAAATACTCTCTCTTTTGTGCTCATAGACAGGAACGAGTGGATACACAAAAAGCGCATTGTTTGTCAATATCAGCCGAGTCTCATCCCCTCACAAAGGTGACGGGGTCGGGAATCTGTACACTATACATAGTCAGCAATAGAAGTATCAAATTTGCAAGCTCTTCGTACCAGTCCAGTATTCCACTTCATTCATTGCCCATGCTAGCTCTTCGAAGACCGTTTCATCATCTCGGTCTTTGTGAGAACGTATAGCTAGTCGTAGAGCCTTGGCGAGTCGTTGTCGGGCTTTCAAAGCATTGCCCAAGGTTCTCGATTGTGATATACTCCATAGTGCTTTACAAAACCCCCAGTCTTCACTGCATTTCTTGACGTAGGACCAGCTTTTAAAGTCGTGCAAAAATTTGATGGCGCCGATACATCTGATCACAGTATCACAGTCAAAGCTGAACTAAATCTGTGCATGTGTTGACCCACCATATATTCCATGCTCGATGGGAGTATCGAGGGAAACCATCCTTACTACCATTTGCGTACGGTGCATTCACACTCAAAAGGAGACAGCGATGTGCCGTCTCGGGCGTTCGTCTACATTTTTAAACAATATGACCCGGCGTGCGGTTTAACGTCGGTAAAGAGACACGTGCCCCGATTAGGACATTGAGATCCCTTGTCCCACGTATCTCTAAGCTGGACCCACTACTACCCATTTCTTTCTTTTTTGATATCCCACCGTACTATTTTGTCACATGTAACGCTATCCAGCCCCGTCAAGCAACAAAGGATGTCAGATTTACCTATTTAGCTAGTCCGTCACCATCGCATAGCGAGCTAGCACAGCCTCTGTGGCAAAAAGCTAATCAACTTACATAATTCGATAGTCGATACTGCTCTTCATTTTGCCATCGCTGTATATGTTAATCATCATGCAATGTTATGATCCCGACGTAGTTTGAAATTGTTTGATTTTGCACCTGTTGTGGCAAGCTGACATTGTGAGTGATGATAAGAATTAATGCATCATAGAAAATGTCTCAATTGACAGAATTATTGATAATGACAAGTCAAATATAAATGTGAATGAAATTTGATCTATATTTAGCATTTCTTGCATGAAGATTCACCTAGCAACTGAATTTAGCGATGTGTAATTTTGATAGAACATGCAAGATACCTGAATACCGTACCGGCCGCCTGTAGTGCTTGGATACCGCGACGCTTCACTGATGCTTCAACGCTAAGAATTGTGACATAACGCTATTTGCGTAGTAATTCGCTGCTCTAGGTATCTCTTCAGTAATCAGGTCGAGCTTACAGAACCTTCAGAATTCGGCCGAATACCGTAGGCAGTAGACCATCAGTTTGATTTTTGACTAAACATGAAGAAAAACATAGGACCAAAGCGTCATCGAGTGAGTGAACATTTTGATTCTGTTTTTTTCACATCCACTTCAATGAATCCAGAGTTCATCCAAAGACTGTCGCCCCAGACCACGCTTTGCCACTCTGCGTAAGCCATAATCGTCCCTTAAGTACTTGTTTTGACTTGAACACTGCGCCAATACCTTCTCAGCACCGTATGGATCCGGAAAGGTAAGAGAAATGACAAGAATAGATGTAGAGTTTGTCACACAATTCCTTTGATAAACGGAAGCTAATAATTTGGACATTTTAAGCATACAATGTGGCTCAGACCTGGAATTCGTGTTTCTGACTCCAAGCGCGGTTAGAATATGATGTCAGAGTGCGCTGTTTTTGGTTCACCGCGATCAAAGAGCACAATCTACACCCTAACCGGTTCTTAAGAAACTCGAATTTTTCATTACTGTAATGTTAATCATACCTCTCAAGACTACCAATGTATATTACAAATACATATATATCTGAGCGGCGTGTGCTACGAACGTGCCATGCTGTTGAACAATAATATATCAGATTGCAGACAAAATCCAAGATGTCTCCACATCTCACACCTGGGGTTAGCTACCCTCAGACATTCAACTCTCCGGCTGATAATATAATATATAGCTGTGAAGGGTTCACTAGTTACTATTACGATGTGAAGAAAATCGATGCCTGTTACACATCATTCCAATGGCAAAATTAGGGCGGTGTTATGTGTGGTGGTTACAACCTTATCACCTTAAACCAACTCAACACCAATCTTGGGGTGGCTATTGACCGTGAACTTATACGGACCGATCCATCTCGCTATTGTGGGGAGCGGGTGGTTCTTACGCTAAATGGGCAAGAGTCCGAACACCAACTCTTTGTCACTGATGGCTGCGAAAGTTGTACTTACAGTCCATCAGAAGGTGGTCAATTGGACACACAACACAAAAAAAAGGTCTGTGTAGATACGGCATACTCAATACTCGACCAAATTTCGGGTTCTAACGAAACTGCTTGCCGAAATTGCCTTATTGCTGTCTCTGTCAAAATTCTCGATGAACAGATCTATGATTTCGGTCACCTAGAAGACGTGTACTTGGGGAAAGCGACCTCTTCTGCTAGCCATCCAAGTATACTTGCTGTCCAAGATCCAACCCAGAGCGGATTACTCACAGTCACGAAAACACTGCCCGCAACTTCCGCGAGCGCCACATCTCACACCATTTGTACAGACAATGTCTGGCAATGTAATGGCAATGTGATTGAGCAGTGTATCAACAGTATATGGACCCCACGAGCTACTTGTGCCCCCAGTTTGAGCTGCAATGGCGGTCACAACCCGTACTGTATCTAAGAACGGCGCTTTAAATTGATCCAAGCATTGAGTCATTGGCTAACAGTTTTAGATTATTAGTGAGAGAATGGGGTAAAGACAATCACAAGAGAGAGAATGGACTGAGGCGAGGTGAAAGTTCTAATATTCCTCTCGAGTCCTTACAATGTGGCACGGAATAGCCATTGGCTATAATGGTACGTGTCATTCCGCGGGTATTCGCATTACTCCACCCGCAGGAACTTTACAGTGGCGCTACTAAAGTCTGTGACCCCTGGTTGACCGCCAGCAGCACCGCCTTCCTAAATATAGCCTACTAAACTCCATCGGGCCGTCAACGCGTATATAGCGCAGTCGCGTATCGCGTTGCATATAATATTTTGACCATCAGCTACACCACTATGCCGCGCACAAGGGCAGGTCTACCAGTGCCTAGCCCTCCAGAGCCTAGAGGGCCTATTTCTACTGCCCCTAGGCCTCCTCCTCAGCCTCCAAATGACCAGCCAAGACGCAAGAACTGCGAATTAGATGTGAATCTACGCACTCAGATTACTACATTAAAAGACGTCGCAAAGTGGTCTTACCGTCAGATGCATGAGAAATATCCACATATACCGCCGTCAACTATCAAAATGACGTGCTTTCGGTCTCGAATTCGACACAAGGAAGAGTCACGGGAACGATCTGGGCGCCCAAAGATCTTAGATGATGATGACCGTCAGAAGATCCTTCAAAAGATCCACGAGAATCCACGATCTTCGTACGATGATCTACTCTCTGAGGTTGATCATAAGTGCAAGGACCTATCAGAAAGTATGTCACGTAGGGTGCAGGCAATTATTGCATCTTATGGCTGGTATACTAAGTAATAGTTTGTTGTTGAATTGAATTGATTTTTTGTATGAGGTTTTAGTACGGCAGGATTATCGGCAGAATAAGGGCGGTCAACCAGGGGGGTCACAGACTTTAGTAGCGCCACTGTATAACATGCGTCCCACCGCAACCGTGTCCCCCTCAGACCCGCTCAAGATTAAGGTATCTTGGAAGACAACGCCAGCATAGTGGAACAATTAGCGTCAGTCTACTTAGCTCAATTATAGATTTCCTATAACGATCTCCGGTATACATTGCTCGACTCTCACCTACTCACATTGATTTGTTGGCAGGTTTCATCGCAAATTGCCTTCTCTTCCCTAACAAGGTGCCTGGGGCAAATTGTTACGGTGTGGCCGATCAACGAAGTACCATTGCGATACCATACTATATCGACCGGACTCTGGGCAGTATCCGTAACCGCGGATATCAGTGGATTTTTATGATCTTGTTGGCTAGTCTTCCGCCCTGAAATATTTCCCGTAAAACAAATCGTGCTAAGATTCCCTGGTCCCTGGCCAACCCTTTACTACGAAATAAGCTTATAATTTGGGTGAAATCTTTCCCCCAATCACTATTCAATAAGCAGTATAGACAATTGACAACGTTCACATCTGAAATGATTTTATTGAGTTATCGATCCTGAAATTCTTGGGGTGACTGATCTGCTTATTGAGGATTGTTTGGTATAGCCAATTACATACAAAGCGTACTGACCATGTAATGTAAGGAATTCTCGTTTGAGAGATCTCTGGCTACGTGCTTCCCGCGGGTCAATCCCGATCGCCAATGACAAGATTCGTCCTCCAGAAGAGAACTGGCCACAAGCCTTCTTCAGCCTTCACCTGGAGTTAACATCGAGGACACTGAAAGTAATTGACTGGAAGAGGCACAATCACATCATCTAGCATAAGGTGCAGGACTGATCTCGTGTCATTAAGACAAAGCTGGACAACCCGGCACTCCTCAGCTCCGAATATCTATAATATGAATGAGATAGGTGAGCTCCTGGGCGTTTTGGCGCTCTGAAGGTGAGGTGTTCCTGGGGCGGGAGGTGTGTAAATACCGTGGTGCTCCTGTGAAACGGAAAACGGCAACCACCGTTGAATGTTTATCGCCAGATGGTACTGTAGTCCCTGGAACCCTTTGTCGTTCGACGTGTTTCTACCCACAGTAGTAATGAAACTGATTCCTGAGAAGAGAAAATACTGTCGTCGAGGTGGAAGCAGATTTTGCTGGTGACTGTTAAACAGAGATGACTGTGCATTAACCGAAATTCAAGCCAAAAACCTTCAAATGTATCGTATCATTTTGTCTTGCTGTACTACTCTAAATGTATATCTGAATCCTTAAGTACCCTTGACAGCCACCCACGGCAAAGATTCACTTGGAGTTGAGAGATAATGGTACTTCCTTGATTCACAGCATTCCCCATTTTTATAGTTTAATCTAGTTTCGGAGCCTGTTAAACGCCTCCAGAGCATAGTATTTTCCTTCCTCCGAAATGAACGCCATTTGCTTCCATTGATCGGGCTTTGGTCTGGCTTCGCGTCCGATCACCAAGGGCACGAGCTCTTCTGCATGCAGAGACATTTCCTTAATTTGAGATTCGGTGGCCCAGCAAAAGGCTTCATGTTCCATAGGGCTCAGTCTGATGTTCTCCAAGCCCTTGTCGCCATTCTCGACGCTACCGATAAATATTATCTTGAGATTATGCTTCATCCACAGCATCCAGGGACCCTGAAATTGGTACTCGCCGACGTAGGCATCGAAGCTCGCGAGCTTCAGGCCGGTCTCCTCCCACAGTTCACGCTGAGCAGCGCGCAGAACGGTTTCCCGCGGAATCCAATCCACCCCACCCCCAGGTAACTCCCACTTTCCCCCTTTTGCAAACCAGCGGTTGGTCTGCAATATCAGTATTTCAGGTTCAGGCCCAGTATGCCGGACAATGACGAGACCCGGTGTCACCCGCTGGGGGACCACCGCGTTAGCGAATGGTTCAAGGAATTCAGAGAGCGGCACATTATATCTCTGGAGGCTTTCGTGAACATGGCAAGTTGTCTCTTTGATCTGTAAATGTTGGAAGCGGTAGCCGCAAGTATACAGTGGCCGTCCATAAGTATTTGGAACACTCTACTTCCGCCCCCTACCGCTTTACTCCACCGCCCCAATACCGCCTACCTATAGCAGCCACACGCGAATTCGCGCGCTCTCAGCTAAATCAGCTAATTCAATCTAGTAGATTAGCCACGCAGCTACAATGCGTGGTAAAGAGCTAGATGTGTATACATGCGAGCGTATATGCGAGCTGAAATTTACACTGAAATGGGGTGCGCGCCGAATCCAGAAGTATCGATTTCCTGATATCCCTCTATCAACTATCTCATATACTCTGACTATGAAGAGAAAGCGTATGAATGGCGCGTCTTTAGCACGCGCTGGCCCTCCACGTAAGCTTTCTGAAGAGGATAGAGATCGAGTTTACGATGCAATTCAGACAAATCCTTCTATCACACGCGAAGATCTATTGAAAGAGGTAGATTATAAGGTCAAAACCTCTTCAATCTGGCGGTTAACGCATGAGATGGGTCTCCGGAAGTGGCGTAAGATGGATAGACCCTATCTTACACCTGAACACGCGGCAGAACGTCTCTCTTGGGCTCTTACCTATCGTCACTACACACCAGAAGACTGGAAGCGAGTCTTTTGGTCTGATGAGACTACAATCGAGCGAGGGCAAGGTGCGCGAAAGGAGTGGACCTTTATTCCGCCATGGCAACAGCTTCAGGAACGTTCAGAGGGCGTTCAAATGTCTCTATCAAAGGGAAAACAGATAAAGCAGATGTTTTGGGCTTGTTTCGCAGGTTCACCTCGAAAGACTGGCCTAATTCCTCTATACGGAGATCCGGAAGCAGAAAAAAAGGGTATTACAAAGGAGGTTATCCACGACCTCTACCAAAGAATCCTACCGACCTTATTAGATAACGAGGACGCGATATTTCAACATGATAATGCGCCTACGCATACTGCATTGATTGTACGTGCTTTACTGCGAGAGTTGAATATCACGGTGATGGAATGGCCGCCCTATTCGCCTGACCTTAATCCAATTGAGAACCTCTGGGCCCTCCTAAAGGCAGATATCTGTGACGGGCCAGAGCCCGATGGTAAACCATGTACCATGGCCGTTTTGGACATCGTCTTGGCAAGAAGGTGCGGAGCGATTCTATCACGGGATTCTAGAGGATTCCAACGGGACGGGATCAACATTTCTTAAGGACCGTGACTGACTCCTGTCTCTTCTTCTTTCTTTTCCCAAGATTGTTGTAAACTGCATGTTGGCCTAGTACAATTGAATCAATTTTGCCACAGCCCTTCACAGATTTATATTCAATGAATTTGCCGAAGATATGATCAAGCATGCTGTCTGGATTGGTTAGAGGTTTATATATGTTCAAGAAACCTTTCACACTTGGTTGACCATTGATGGAGAGCTTGAAATGAGCCAAAGCCCATTCCGGTGGTATAGGGCGATTAGCAACAGTTGAGTTTGCAAGAGTAAGGGCAGCTTGCTACTTAGTAACGAAGTTATAGGGGCCACTACCATTGTATGTAAGTTTAATCAAAGATGATAGCCTATGGCTTAAAGCAGTATGATTACTGGTGCCGTAAGTATTGCTGATGCGAAGAAAGATCTCATAAGAGTCTTTGTAGTCGCGTATGAAGCTACGAGCTGAGTCGCTGAGCGTGCAGTAGATGAGATATTTCGCGAGTGCATGTTTTCGGCGAAACCAGTGGAATCGGTTATTTGGCTGAGTAACGTTCTCGTTGATCTATTCGTTGAATTCATCTTCGATAGGCTCTCGCCCAAGTTGAGCGATAAGCATGTTTTGAATGATCTCTTCGGAAGGAGTCTCACGAGGCTCTTGAATGGGACATGTCATCTTGCCCGAGATCACAGACCGTAGGTCGTCATCCAAGCTATCTACAACATACTAGAGTCCCTGTCGCCATTTTTCGAAGTTGGCTCTTCCTTTAAGAGTAGGGACGGACTCGGCGAAGACTTTGGCCGCCTTGTGAGCCTCGAGATCGGATACCATGTTGATGGTTGAATATGTGAGATGGTATAAGAGCCGGAAGGTTTTTGATGGTCCACTACAACGAAGAGTTGCTGTGTGGTTATCCTACTACGACGATATGCCGCTGCGCAGGTTAAGAGCGTCAGAGCTCTAGAAATGGCATAAAAGCCGGAAGGATTTAATTTATTATGAGAGGCCTTAAAGCCAAAGGAGGGACTTTGCCGACGATTCGATGGCTTCGGTAGCCGGATTCGATACGTATGGGACGCGAAGGGATCGTCAACTCGTAAAGAGGTGCGCAAGGCTGCAGGAGGCGCAGGATGCACCGAAAATTAATGAAATAAGCGGTTATTTTGCAAGTTAGTGCCTAGGCAGTGAGGAAATGTGAATAACCTCACTCTTTTTTAGCACCAAGCAGGGCTCATAAACTATCAGGGAGCTACGGAAAACGTAGCACTGACCAAAAGAGAGGAGAAAGGGATGGTGAGATTGTAACTGGTGAGAAGTGCTATCTAAACTACTGTGGTGGTGTGCGTAGGCGTGCACCACGCTGGTGTGAGGCGCCTGACCACCAAGCTATGTCAACAAAAAGAAGGGCTCTACCGCAGCATTGAAGTGAAACCTATCATATTTCAAACGTTTGAGAGTATGGCACCTGTATCTTCCAAGCAGGCTGGCGACTCAGATCCTGACGATAGTGAATCGGACGAAGCAGTCTCATCGGGCGAGAGCTCAAACACTCAAGTAAAGCCCGTGACTGCGCAAGAATCTGGCCCTCGACGTGGACGTGGACGACCTAAGAAGCAACCAACACCTCCTAAACCAGCGCCGAAAAAAAATCCACAGTGGAGGACCCGCAGAGGGGAAGCGAAAGTGAAGGCAAGATACCTGGAAAACCAACAAAGGCTGCGACTACTCCCAGAGCGCGCAAGGCAGACAAAGTACCTAAGAAACCAGGAAAAGCTACAGGGAGACCAAGCTACAAAGGCTTCTATTAGTGCGCTAAGAGAACAATTAGAGGAAGTTGCCGGATCGGTTGCAAAAGCAATTAAGATTCTGACCGCAGTCGTTGAAGGTGGAAAGTAAGAACTCTGATATCAACACCATATCTTCAAATAATGGGCCGTCTTTCTTTTGTATACCAGATGTGATAAATAAGTTTCTTCAATTTGATTCAAAGCTTCATCCCGTGTATCTGTATCTGCGATGTATTGTGGCAGGAAACACTGTAGGCAATGGAGCACGGAAGGCCTGATTCCCCTCAGTGACACATACTTTTGGCTCACCTTTCGACTACAACAGTGACAATTCTCTTTTCTCGGCCACCTTCGCAATCAGCTCGGAGAGAGCGAAAATTTTGACAACACAGATCTTGCGGTGCGGTTGATTGGAAATGCTATGAACTTAGTAGGAACGAGTACACATGAAGACAGAAAGATCTTGGCTTTTCCTCTCCGGATAAAGAACAGGCTTCTTTGTTACCTTTCATCATTTACGACGCTAGTTTAGATGATTTTCGAATTTTTGTATTCAACAGTAATCTCTCAGCACAAGAAGTAGAAACAATCGATCTAATGTCTAATGAAGCTGACAGCTGGCGGAATGCTGATTTTGATCGATTTCTCAAATCATTCCAATCAATTGCGGAAAAATTGACTGGTACTATGTGACGTCAGAGGGCCAATGCGAAGAGATGGTGGATTCAGTTATGGGAAAGGCACAACGAGACAACCTATTACGGGTACGATACTAGCCGCATAGAAACAGCATGGTCAAATAGATTGAACAAGAAATTGCAAAACTTCATGATGAAATCATCCTGTCCTACGGATGTCACGTTTCGTGCCGAGTTCTATTACGCATTTTTTCAACGCTACACCGGAGCCTCAGGTATCGTTCTGTATAGCGCCGTTGCGCTTGCGTCTTTGCCGAAGTTGGTGATTGATCTTCATGCACAGTGAAACAACGGTGATGAGTGCAACAATCGATAAGGTCCCTAACGCAAAGCTTCTAGAGAATTGAAACATCGTCATGCCAGCCAGCAAGAGTGGCCTGCTGGTTGTTAGTTACGCCCTAAAAAAAGACAATACATCAAGGAGACGTACGTAGTGAATATAATTGCGATGCACCAAGACTCCGGAGTTGTGAGGGCATTGAGGGCATTCAGATTATGAAATTCACTGACAAACGGAGGAGGTGGATAGGAGCTAGGTAGAAAAGGGGTATTAGCCATGATATAGCGGGTTGGTTATCAAAGCAAGACCTTCGGGTCTGTGAAAAATCCTGAGGCCTTATTGAGCTTAAGTACAGTCTACATCTGACACTAAATCAAGCAGATTCAAATTGAATTGGCTGTTGAACGTTGAAGACTTGGAAAATGGCAGGTAAATCTAAATTTACACTCGGAATTTGGGAGAGTCCGCAAATAACCCCACAGAGTCTGTGTTCGACACCATTCCATGGTTTCTAATAACAGAATCTCATACTCAGACACCGGTGATTCCATGTTGTGCTCAGGCCAGTCAACCTATTCTCATTAACGTTTTGTCTGCTTGCATACCAGATACGCAATCCCACCTCGCGCTTCCATGGAATGGCTGGAAAGTGTGTCCATATTGAGCTATTGTTACCGTGAAGAATCCTACCGATGAAATTTCTTTCTAAAAGAGGTTTACGATCGACTTTATAGGCTACTAGTCAAGCAGAATTCGGGTTCCATAAGACAGAACGTGGCTCATTAGATGAAGAGTACCAATTATCACCAACACTCAAATACTGTATCGTTGTCAATTGACACAAACAGGGTATAACCAGGGAATACCTCTACAAGGTAATGGACCTCATACTGAATTTAAGTCTTAAATTTTCTATTCGCTTTCCATGTTGCAAATATCAGCGCAAAAGGCCATGCTCTTCAAAGCCACCGCCAAACAAAAAACAATTTTAGAAGTAACTAAGTTAGCTCGGACATGATGGAGAGTTCTTGAATAGTGACCGTCCACTACCATCAAGAAGGATTCCTTTTTGTTATTTTAAGAGGTATGTCACTGGCTCAAGTTAAGAAACTCATGCTCAGAAGCTTCAGGAATCACAAGCAAAAAGTGAAGTCCAATGGCTTTTTTCAGGCGTTTCATTACAGTTGCACTATACAGTAAAGACCTACCCGCTAGGACCTCTTTCATTAAATGAATATTGCTCACATGAATCGAATCACTTCACAAGATTGCTACGATGCATATATTATATTTGGTATCTACAATTATGTGTGCTTACGAAATACGTAGCGGAATATTCATTTGGAACGTTCATAGTGTTTTTAGTGACTATCAAATTCGATACTTTAGTTCTCGGACTCAGCTGCCGCCACTGCATCTTCACATACTGGTTAAATAGTCGGCTGATACCTCCCGCCGCGTAGGTCCGGCAACTCATGAGCCATTTGCTGTGTTTGTCTAAAGTATCAGGAGAGTAGCCATTTCCATCTATGGCGTAGATCTCTAGGGTTATCTGTTTGTTGGTGAGGCCTGCTATACTGCCTGGGCTACGCCCTCACCACCTGGGACCACCAACCTCAGTAGTCTAGCTTAGCTTCCTTTTTCCTCTTCTCTTCTTCTAGTCAACGTCGAGTGTTTTCACCTTTCAGGTTTTTCCTTTCGTAGGATCCTGCAGACAAATATTATCTTTGTCGAAGAGAAAAAAACCAATTTCATTCTCATGACTATTACGAGGTTCGTCATGAATGAGCTTGCATTTGTTAGATTTTTTTGTAGGCCTTCAAGGGGCGGAACTTATACAGTCAATTTCAGCAGAAGAACCTGCAAAGCGAGATGAAGGTTATATACAACTGGCTGCAGGCCCGTAGTGTCCCTCGAATCCTTCTGTCGCATATAGGGGATGTGCAGTAATCAAAACAAAGCAAATACTACATCCAATAACATAGGTACGCGAAGCTTAAGAAGCACTAAGAGAAGTACGCACTTTCCAATCGAGA